ACTTTTCACACTAGAGATGCTATACCAATGATTATACTCTACAAGACGCTAGTGCTCTCTAGAGTGGCATACTGTTGTACAATGACAGCCCTTTTCAAAGCTGGAGAAATTGCTGACCTGGAGAGCGTGCATAGATCCTTTACTGCTAGAATCCACTCAGTAAAACACCTAATCTATTGGGACCGACTAAAATGCCTAAAATCTGTATTCTCTTGAGCACAGGTGGGAGAGATCATAATTTACACGTGGAAAATAATAGAGGGGCCTTCAGAGGTGCAGGTTTGTGTGCAGGCCCAAACCTGCACACAGAAATAACAGCACATGAGACCAGAAGGCATGGCAGGATATGCAGAATACACCCGTTGAAAAACAGAGGTGCAACAGGTACTCTGAGAGAGAACTCTACCAACATCAGAGGCCCGAGACTGTTCAACACGCTTCCACTACACATAAGGGGCATAACTGGCAGACCCCTCACAGTGTTCCAGAGAGAACTCAATAAGCACCTCCAAAGGATACCAGATCAACTAGTCTGGCTCATACGTCAGGCTGCGAGCAGCCGCGTCCAACAGCTTGGTTGACCAATCCAGCAACGAGGAGGCCTGGTCGAGGGGAGAGAGAGAGAGAGAGGTGAGTGTTGGTGTCAGTGAGGGTGAGGGAGATGTCCTTGGCTCAACCCTCTCATTGTTCTCCTGGTGATTCCTTCTGGGTAGTTCTCCCTCGGCAACCAGTCTTGCTCGCCAGTGAGCGTGTCAGCGAGCTCGTTCCATCTATCCACAAAAATCCTGCAACAACATTGGTCTTACATCTCGTACCCTGTCAACTGGGAGCAAGTTAGGGCGGGAGAGATACACAGGGACAGAGAGAGAGACAGACAACAAGACAGTTTTTCCCCCTCCCCTCGACCAGCCAGTCGGTTGTATGTTGTATAGTAACAGCTCAATGGGTTGTATGTTGTATAGCGACACCACCCTGGCCTGTATACTGACACTCATGGTTTGTTTTGTTCCATTATTTGAAGGTAATCAGTGTTAACGAGAAGAGAGTTGTGTGTGTGTGTGTATTTGGTTACAGCACTACAGTCGTATTATGTGGGGAAGCCCTCAGTTATGTGGGGAAGTTCTCGGTTATGTGGGGAAGCCCTCAGTTACGTGGGGAAGCCTTCAGTTATGTGGGGAATACTGAGTTATATGGGAAGCCCTAAATTACTGCGGACAGCAGAGGGCCCCATACCCATCGTCCCCATACTTTTGGACGGTAGTGGAAAAAGGTTACAGAGGTTCAGGAACTGAACCCCAAAATTCCTTTAGCTAAACAAGTTACAATCTGACAAGCTAGTTACACAAGTAATAGAATATTCAAAACATCGACTCGCGTTTTCGGAGATTTGTCAACTATGTCTTAAAAAGTTCATCGTTATAAGCAGCTGTTCATTCTTTAAAGGTAGCTGTTGTAACGTAATGGACATTAAATATTGATGAAATGAGATGTTTGGTACTTGAGGTTTAAGGTTTGATACGTGACAGTAGATCCTACAAGGTTACACCCTCAGTGTGTAACAGTGTGTAGCCCTAGTGTAAGCCGGGCCGGACTGTCTCCACACGGGTCGGACTCTCTCCACACGGGCCGGACCGTCCGCAGTGGTCTCAGAGTCCTGCACCCTCGCATCCGCGGGTAAACGTACAGACCCTGGTGGCTATAGAGGTAGCAGACTCAACTCGCCCCCTACGAGCGTTTTGCTTTGGGTTCGAGTCCTAGCTTGGGAGGATTACCTGGGCGCCACTCCTTAAGTATGCGTTCATGTTCATCCAGTGGTAATTGGTCATCTGGTTGTTAACGGATTGGCGGGTGGGGTTCCAGGTTGAAACTATTAGTGTAAGACTTACCACGAGCTATGGGGAGGGGAAAGGCTCTCAAGCTGTAAACAGGAGCTAGAAGTCCTGTACCCGCCTGTGGTAAAAATATAAAAATAGTCCTTCAGAATACAATAACGTTCTTCCATGGCAACTTGAGGGCTACAAATTGGCAGAGTCCCACCTTCAGCTGCACGACTACACTGTGCCGGTATGCTCCTTCATAACTAACGGAACACAGACACCCACACTACCACTCAGCGCCCCCCACACTACCACTCAGCGCCCCCCACACTACCACTCAGCGCCCCCACACTACCACTCATCGCCCCCCCCATGGGGAAATGCCGCCCCTGTGGCTAGGGAATACGGCCACAGTAAACACTTCACTCATTGAACTGCCTGAAATCCACTCCTCGAGAAACGCTCTCTCTCCCATCCCTTCTTCCATCCCATTCCCTGCCCCTCTCTCCTCTTCCTAACCCCCCCCCCCCTGTTCGTCCCCTACCACCCTCTTTTGTCCCATCCTCCCTTCCACCCCTTCACTATCCCCTTCTCTTCCACCTCCCTTCCCCCCACAATCCACTCACCTGAATAAGTTTGCTCTGAGAGACCTCAACAACTTGAGGTTCTCGTGACAATGGCATCGTGTCAGCGGAAAATTGCTCGCTTTCTCCGATTCAGGTTCGAATCTCGAGCGATGAGATTATTTATTGTGAGTGGAATTTTGAACCCTTTTTGATAAATCGTATATAATTTCAGTACAACTGTTGCCTTCTTAACAAACGTGATCTTAGATATGTTTTAGCCCCATTAGACTCTTTTCTTTCTCTTATGTTGCTTTCTCTTTTTATCTCTTTTCCTATTCCAGTTATCTTTATTCCTATTACCTCCTGTGGTACACTTCAACGTTCTCACCTTTCACCTCACATTCTTGCCTTGTATATTGACATTCTCATCCACTCTTTGCTTACGGGCTCGCCGTAGTCCGTGCTACATGGACATGCCGTTCTGGGTAGCTAAATCTATAACAACAACAACAACAACAACCACTCTTTGCTCGTCGTGATAATGTTGCAAGGACGGAGGGAAAACATTTTATACTGCCATTAGACATAGATTGAATATTCGCTTTGGACAAAATCAAGATAAGATACTATTACGATAACTTGACGCAGTGGATATAAAATGGGTTCAATTTTGTATTTAATTTTGATTTTTGATTTTTGTTTTAAATTATTGTTTATTTCTTCTATTTACATTTACAGGAGTCAAACTTTTACCAGTTGGAGGTCTTCCCATTTTCTATTTTGTCAAAGAAAAAAAATTCACGCAAATTGAAAAACTAATAATTTCACGGAGGTTGCTCCCTTAAGTACCATCTCTACTCACATGTCTAGTTAATACTAGTTGAACAGTCGCATTAGGTGAAAGAAAATTTACCCATGCACCTCCAAAGGATACCTGATCAACCAGGCTGTGATTCGTACGTCAGGCTGCGAGCAGCCGCGTCCGACAGCCTGGTTGACCAGTCCAGCAACGAGGAGGGCTGGTCAACGACCGGGCCGCGGGGAAGCTAAGTCCCGAAAACACCTCTAGGTTACCTCCATTTCTGTCTGGCACGGGAATCGAACCAGGGATCCCTGATTGAATGTTGACGGTACCCTGTAGACAGGCGGTTGTTATGGGGCTGTATCCTGTCGAATCTTGATATAAGCTTAAAGTATATATATATATATATTCACAGGCTTCCTCTCCCCGGCAAAACGAATTACTATACAAGTGTTTTCTAATATATAAGTGTTATCTATTGTTTCGTTTTCTATAACACTGCCGTGCTGCACTACAGAAAATGGATATTTCCTTATATTAAAGGTAAACTATGTTATAACTCATTTTTTTCAAACTTGTCAATTGGCTCATATTGAATGGGTGTTTTCCTTTCCCGTTCTTTAAATATGTAACAACGAAGAGTATAGAAATAGTGATCTGTCACAATAACGCTACAAAACGCTTCGTTACCCACTTCTTTTGAAAGGGTGCAGGCGTTTGGAAGGTATTAGACATATACCAACGCACCGACACCTTCAATCAGTGTTTGGTTATAGACTTGGTCTCGCCACGTTACGTTAGGTTTACACTTCGGTTAAACACCCTAAGAACCTTTGCAAATGTCGCCGAATTATTTCCATTAAGTTGAGATCGAATACAAGTGTCAGATTACACAGATAATATGGATTCAGGAGAGTAGCATCTCCCTTTTTGCGGTGACCTGTTAAGTCCCGCAGGAGTAGCGTGAATCGCTACGCATCTTATAAATGTGTTGTCAAACCTATGGCCATACCGCGCTCTACCCATATCTAAAACATTCACTCGTTTACTGGTCACAAAGACCCATTTTTGCTTTAGTTTCTGAGTTTACCGGAAAGCTGCCAGCTATCTATCGGCCACGACGGGAACAGGAAGACGGCGGCTTGTCAGAGGTAACCCCCCCCCCATTTTTCGTGATAATTTTTCTTTTTCAGTAATTTTGAAGTATAGTGTTGTCTTAACATGTTGTGCCTCGGCAGGTAGGTGGCTCCACCCGCTGAGGCCATGAATGTTCATTTATTTTTCATGCAATGGTCATCTTGTGGATGGAAGTGGAACCCCATACCCATCCTGTGGGTGGTAGTGGACCCCATACCTATCCTGTGGGTGGTAGTGGACCCCATACCCATCCTGTGGGTGGTAGTGGACCCCATACCCATCCTGTGGGTGGTAGTGGACCCCATACCCATCCTGTGGGTGGTAGTGGACCCCATACCCATCCTGTGGGTGGTAGTGGACCCCATACCCATCCTGTGGGTGGTAGCTAGTGGACCCCATATCCATACAGTGGGTGGTAGTGGACCCCATACCTATACTGTGGTTGGTAGTGGACCCCATACCCATCCTGTGGGTGGTAGTGGACCCCATACCCATCCTGTGGGTGGTGGTGGACCCCATACCCATCCTGTGGGTGGTAGTGAACCCCATACTGTGAGTGGTAGTGGACCCCATACTGTGGGTGGTAGTGGACTCCATACCCATCCTGTGGGTGGTGGTGGACCCCATACTGTGGGTGGTAGTGGACCCCATACTGTGGGTGGTAGTGGACCCCATACTGTGGGTGGTAGTGGACCCCATACTGTGGGTGGTGGTGGACCCCATACTGTGGGTGGTAGTGGACCCCATACTGTGGGTGGTAGTGGACCCCATACTGTGGGTGGTAGTGGACCCCATACTGTGGGTGGTAGTGGACCCCATACTGTGGGTGGTAGTGGACCCCATACTGTGGGTGGTAGTGGACCCCATACTGTGGGTGGTAGTGGACCCCATACTGTGGGTGGTGGTGGACCCCATACTGTGGGTGGTAGTGGACCCCATACTGTGGGTGGTAGTGGACCCCATACTGTGGGTGGTAGTGGATCCCATACTGTGGGTGGTAGTGGACCCCATACTGTGGGTGGTAGTGGACCCCATACTGTGGGTGGTAGTGGACCCCATACTGTGGGTGGTAGTGGACCCCATACTGTGGGTGGTAGTGGACCCCATACTGTGGGTGGTAGTGGACCCCATCCTGTGGGTGGTAGTGGACCCCATCCTGTTTTTTTTTTATTATTATTTTCTACCACAGACGTGGCCTCGTGGCCACAAATAAAGTTCCTGTATACATTTATGTATCCGTCCATGTACTCTTATTTTTTAATTTTAGTTGTATTTTTGTTTATTTGCTTGTATGTGTGAACACTTTGCAGGGACGGCCGTGTTCAGGATAATCAGCAAGGGGCGGTCATCTGAAAAAGTAATCATCGCAATTGCTTTCATTAACCGAATGACAACATATATTACGCCGAAATACGTTCACACCCCCCATTTCCCCCCCCCCCGTCCCCCCCCCCACACTACTCGTCACCTATCACCCCACTACTCCTAATCCATCCCCAGGGTCCCCCGCCCCCCCCCCCCCCCCCCCTTCCTTTTTTTTTTAACTCTGTGCGCCCAATAAAATTCCCATTAGTTCAGCAGTAACTGCGGAAATTGCACCTCAAGCTTCTGTACACAGCTCTTGTGCAAACTGTGTTCCACAAGGGGTATACTGTATACCCAGAGTGTACCCCTTCCCCTCCCCCCCCCCACCCTCATATCTAGGCGTGTATACACTTGAGAGTTTCATTTAGCTCTAGGCAATGTTAGGACGAAGGTATACATGTTGGTTGGTGAGTATTGGCTCTATTGGTGGTGGTAATGACAACACCTTCGAAGCTAACTGGCCACAAGCCCATCATCGAACACAAGGGGTTACAACCCAGCCCCGTCATCCTAAGGTTACCCCAACGATTAGAAAACGGTCAATTTAAAGTGTCGTCTCCTAACCTACCAGAGGGGCCCAAAACAGAATTCGGGAAAGTACGTCACTTCCGCCAGCCGCTTTCATTTTCTAGTACGGCAATTTTTGGCCTAATGTAACCCATACGAGCGAAACGCGACGTTCTTTGTAGGAGGACAGGTTGTGTAGCGTAGGTGGTCACGGTGGTTCTGTGTGTGTGTACCTGAGGCCCTTGGGGCGTGTGGGTGCTGTACCCCTGCACCTCAAGCACCTATATATGCTGTACCACTTATCACCTGTTTTCTACATTTGGTGAAATACATCTATCGCTGACATTAGTGAAGCCATGATCCTGGTGTAGCGAATAGCATTCTCTTCGGGATAATTTAGTTATGATATGATATTTCATATTAAGATTCGTTAGGATAAGCTAAGTTATCTTCGCTAATATTATTAATAATGCACAGATAAATTGCTCGAAACCATGTCGTGGCCTAGTTGTTTGGAGCATGTGCCCAGCACATAGGTTCGAATCCTCACCACGGCTTCAATAGATTTTTCTCAATAATAATAAGAAAGGAATTTATAATATCTATCGTAGGCTCATGTCCATATAGTGTACATAGAATAGTACCGGCTCATAAATACCTACGTTTTCTATACATCGGACTTCATAGCTTAGGGGGAGTTGTTTTATAGGTAAAAATGGTTAGATTGCTTACGGTTTACGGAGTGGCAAATTGAGAGAACACACTAGACTGTGTGTTCTAGAGCGTCAGCTCTAGAACACAAAGAATATTCTGAGGCTAACTGCTCGTACAAGACTATATATATATATATATATATATATATATATATATATATATATATATATATATATATATATATATATATATATATATGCACAGATACACACACACACACACACACACACACACACACACACACACACACACACACACACACACACACACACACACACACACACACTGAAGGCTTGCCCCCTTCAGTCTTGTCCCACTCTCTTGCATTACCTGTAATGTTGCATGCACAGACCTCTTCCAGCACCGTGAACTCATGCCCCTTACACGTGGTGGTAACTCTCTCCTGCCAGCTCCGGGATCACCCGGAGCGTCTGCCCCATCCAGTTCAATTGACCCTGAAACTCCTTCCAGAAAACCAAGTAACCCGTCCTCGACTCAAGTCCATTCCATCCAGCGGTCGACCCCACAGACGCATTCGTAAATTTTTACATGCTGTTCATTCAAAACGGGAATTTTCGCAAATATAAATTAA